AGACTCTGCCTACTGAGGCAGTAGGTCTGGGGTGGGCTTGAGGCGCTGTCTTCCCAGCAGGCTCTGAGTTGGTGACTCCGGGGCCGAGGTGTAGGCCCAGCCCGGCCCTTCACGCCCAGAGTGGCTTGCTGTATTGGTGCTCTCCTGTGTACGCACGTTCTCTCTCACCCTCGGCCCCCACTTCCGCCAGTTTTGCCCCTCTTGGGAGGGTAGGAGGTTATCAAGCATTTGCCTTTTAACCCAGCAGTCGCATAGTTAAGTTTTTTGACTAGGAAAATCAAAAGAAAACCGGAAAGTCTGCCGGATCCCTAAGTGTGTGTGTGTGTGTGTGTGTGTGTGTGTGTGTGTGTGTGTATTTTTTTTTCAGTAGTAAAAAATGCTCTGTGCACTGGAGTGCTTCAGGAATGGACCTCAGTACGTCTGAACTTCGGTGGCTCGAACTGCCAAAACAGTGTTTTCAGGGAGTCTAAAGAGGGAAGCTGGACCGTGCCAGGGTGGGACCTCTGCCCTGCAGGGGATGGTGTGGCAGGCCCTCCCTGGCTCTAGTAGATGTCACCTCATACCTGTGCCCTCCCCTGGGTGTGACCGTAGACTTTGGCAAAATAGTTTAAGGCAGGTGTTTGGTTTTTTGTTTGTTTTTTGTTTTTAATGTTTGTTTATTCTTGAGAGAGAGACAGAGCATGAGCAGGGGAGAGGCAGAGAGAGAGGGAGACACAGAATCCGAAGCAGGCTCCAGGCTCCAAGCTGTCAGCATGGAGCCCAGCACAAGGCTTGAACCCATGAACCGTGAGATCATGACCTGAGCCGAAGTCGGGCACTTAACCGACTGAGCACCCAGGCGCCCCCTAGGGCAAGTGTTGTTAAGCCTTTACTTCCATAATGTAAAAATCTGTCCCTATTGAGGGATGCAGGAGGTATAAGTTTCCCTCTACAACTAAGCATAATAAGTGTTAAATGCCCTTAATTCAGCCTTGGTTAATATTAAGATGAGGCCCAAGACCAAAAGCTTCTGTCGCAGAGCTTCAGGAGGGACCCATGTGCTTTTGAGAACACAGAGCTCTGAGTGGAAAAATTGCCCTCATTATGTAGATAAGGTAGAACAGTGGTATGTGAGCTGTTAGTCATTTCAGGTCGGATCTATTTATTTTCTACCTTGTCATAAAATTGAGATTCTAAGATTTTACTAAGTAAACAAATAATAATGAAATATTTGTTTTAATACCTCTAAGGACTATTGACTTTTTGAGGTGATGACTATTTGTTGTAGGACACTGTATTTGTGAAGACATTTGCTGTAGAAAACTGTTTATAGATTCTGTTTGTTTTGGGATATTGATTATGCACCCACCTTGGGGTGACAGCCCCTCCCTGATTTGGATCTGATTCATTTATCCAGTTGAAACAGCTCTGCAGACTGCCTCAGAAACAGGACTGTAGCTAAAAGTGTTCAGTGTAAAAAAGTTATTATTCAAGGAAAATAAATGATTGATGCTAACAATTAACTTTAAAACACAAGTGGGAATCTCATTTTTTTTTCATGACCCCAGCCTTCAGCTCTTGAAGAAGTCCTGCTGACTCTGTGTCTTCAATGCCCGATCGCGTCTTTAATGCCCGATCTATCAGGATCTATTACTACTTTGTAGCCGATGACCCTGAAACTTGGCAACTTGGAACAAAAAATGTTCATTGTCATCTCAGGGTTTTGGTGCGGAATCTGAGTGCCGCCTAGCGGGATGGAGTCTTCAGATTCTTGTGTGGCAGGGTCTCCCCCAGGGTTCAGACACCGCGCCCACCAGGGCTGTGGTCTCATTTGATGACCCGACAAAGGGAGAGTCCTTTTCTCTAAGTTGGCTCACATGGTGGTTCGCAGGATCCCACTCCTTTGGGTTGTTGCATGAAGGGCCTCCATTCTTCATGGTCTGTTGTTGCCTCAGCTCCTTATGATGTTGGCCTCTCTGGAGGCCGAGTCCCTGCACGGCAGCCTTTTTTGTCTGGGGTGAGGGCTCTGAGAGAGAGCGAGAGAGAATGAGCAAGATGGAAGACATGGCTTTTTTCTAGCCTGATTTCTCTTTATCTTTTTAGCCACTTTATTGAGACATGGTTGAGCTGTAAAAAGCTGTATATGTTTAATATGTACAATAATCCTCAAGGGTTTGGGAGTAAGTACACACCTGTGGACCATCACTTCTATCAAGGTCCTCATCATGCTCATCTCCTCCAAACCCTTTATTATTATTATTATCTTTATTATTATTACATTTATTACCTTTAACCTTTTTTTACCATTATTATCATCATCGTCATCATTATTCTTTGTGTATATGCTAAGAGCACCTCACATAGATTCTACCTTTGTAGCAAATTTTAAGTACACAGTATAGTATGGTTAGCTGAGGACATGATGCTCTACAGTAAGTCTACAAAACTTCTTTATCTTGTAGAACTAGAACTTTGTACCCTTTGACCATCACCTCTTCCATTTCCCCTAACCCTCAGCCCCTGGCATCCACCATTCTTCTCTCTGCTTCTATGACTTTGACTGTATTAGAACCCACATATGAGTGAGATCAGACCGTATTTGTCTTTCTTCGGCTGACTTATATCACTTAGCATAATGCCCTCGAGGTCCATCCATATTATTTCAAATGGCAGGATTTCCTTCTTTTTTTTAAGACTGAATAATAGCATATTGTACATCTAGACCACATTTTATTTATCAGTCCATCCATTGAGGTGCATTTGGATTGTTTCCGTATCTTGGTGTCGCCTAATCCCTGAAGGGGCATCCCATCACCGTGTTCTGCTTCTTAGAACAAAGTCACACTAGAGGGGATTGCACAGGGACGCGACTCTCACAACGCAGGGATCTTTGGGACCTTCTTGGAGTCTTTCTGCCACACGTAGTAATTGCTCAGAAAATACAACTTCACATCTGTTGTAGTGCTAGATCGCCCTCCTTCCCAATGACATGCATGTGCCAGGGCTTCATGCAGCCCTTTTCAGATGGAGTTCAAGTTGGTTGTGATTTGCTTGAGCAGCTAACAGTCTGAGCTGTAGGTCAGGAACTGGTGGGGTGACTTGCACGCGCAGTTTGTTCTATAAATACGTGCAGGTAGCTCGCACGCCTGTGTTTTTAAGTTCTGAAAAAGGAATCGAGAAGGAAGGGAGGCCTGAAGCCAGAGGTCCACTGTAAGATGACAGCAAGCCAGGTATGGTGGCTGGAGGGTGGCTACGGAATTCAAAAAGGTTAGACTGGCTCTTTGCCACTGAGATCTCAGCTTAGATGATGCATATCGGAGAGAGGCTTCCCTGGGTGCCCCGTTGAAATTAGCCATTGCTTTTCACTTCACCTTCCTGGTGTGGCTCCTTTCCCTGTGCATTTCTTTGTTTGCCGTCATTCTCTCTGCTGAGGACTGAGCCCCAGGAGAGCAGAGGCCTCGGCTGTCGGGGTCCAGCCACGTATTGTCAGCACCACATATGGGGCCTGGCAAACAGTGGGCTCTCAGTGAATACTTATTGAATAAATGAACGAACTGAACCTACAGATGTGAACGGACCCTAAGGAGCTTTTTGGAAACCGTAATGTCTTCATGACTTCCAAAGGAAATGCCACTTAGTTAACATGCAAAATACACTCATTCATTGAAAAGAAGAAAACAGTCTCGAGATAGTGGGGTCGTTTTGTCCTTGCCGCGGACCGCTCGCTAGTGGCCATCAGGCAAGCAAGCCATGGTGCATCTCTGGGCCTCGGCCTCCTCAGAGCATGAATACAGGGGCTGTGCCCTGGGGGGGTCTTCACACTGCTCTGTGCTGAGATCAGGCTCAGGCCAAGGAGCTCTGGTTTTCAGCACTGGTCTACTGTGTTTGGTTCGAAGACAGGATGCTGTCACCAGGAAAAAAAAAAGTTGGACAACCACACGGCTCCGTGCCCACAAATGGCCCTCTGTCTGTGCTGAGGCAGGAGCCCTGCAGTTCTGCGGGCTGATAAGGGTGGGGGCCTGCGACCCGCCAAGCCTGGGTCAGCAGAAGCAGTAGCAAGGGCAGGCCTAATACTTTTGGTTCAGGTGACGCAGCGCCCTTTCCAAGAACATAAAGAATCCCCTCTTCCTTCCTCTCCCCCCTCCTCCCCCCACCCCCCAGCCTCACACCTCGCTTAAGCCCACATTGTGCTGCCTTTGAAATGTTAGCGTTGGGGCGCCTGGGTGGCTTAGTCGGTTAGGCGTCCGACTTTCGCTTAGGTCATGATCTCACGGTTCGTGGGTTCGAGCCCCGCATCGGGCTCTGTGCTGACTGCCAGCTCAGAGCCTGGAGCCTGTTTCAGTCTGTGACTCCCTCTGTCTCTGACCCTCCCCTGCTCACGCTGTCTCTCTCTCTCCTAGAAATAAATAAAACATTAAAAAAAAAATGTTAGCGTCAATTTTTTTTCCCCCTTTTCTCGTTGACAAACTCATTTCGAGATTTCATTTCTGGCACCGCGTTTCCTACCAGATAGCCAGAGCTACCAGGTTTTATAATTAAAATTCTGTCACATCCCCCTAAACAGTGCAAATTGTGCCATTAAGCCTGGCAGATAGGATTTGCAAGCACTTCACCTAGTAATTTAAATATAATACTTCTGGCAGCTTTCAGTTCCTGGTATTTTTAATTCTAATTAAAAAACGATTATTGAGCATTAATATCTTCTATACAGCACACTGTTTGCCTCGGAGCTCCATTTTGGCCAGCTAGTTTTAAACAAACAGCTTGGCTGGGTGGCTATTGCGGCCCACGTGGTTTTTCCTGGCCTTTGGGAATCACCAGGTCCCAGGCATAATTAGTCTAAATCAAAATCCTCTAGACTATGACAGGAAAATGGTATGTTTGAACAGCAGCTTATTAAAATGACCCACTTAATTTAAGAAAAATATTGTATCCACTTGCACGATAACCTGGATGATTTCCCTGACAGATTTTATAATATTTCTTCCCTCTCCCTTCCCCCCCTCCTTTGTTTTTATAAGAAAAGGAAAGGGAATGGAAAGGCCCGTTCTACTTCATCCAAGGTGCAGACCCACAGTTTGGGCTCATGAAGGCCTGGTCCACTGGGAACTGTGACAGCGGCGGTGACGAGTGGGGGCAGGAGATCCGTCTAACCGAGCAAGCTGTTGAGGCCATCAACAAGTTGAAGCCCAAACCCAGATTCTTTGTTCTCTGCGGGGACCTCATCCACGCCATGCCGGGTAAGACTCATACCGGGGGGGGGGGGGGCGGCTGCTGCGACCACCGCTTCTTCCTCCCCTCATGACTGCACCTGGGCAGAAGAGCAGACTTCTCTTAAAGAGACGTCCTGACTCGGTAATGGCTCGCTCCTTCCCTCCATGGCTGTTGGAGGGAGTATCCTTGAACATCAGAAAACACATGCTCATTTTATATTTAGAATTTGGCGAGATTAATCACAGTAATTAGGCAGAGCTACAGTTCTGATGATCTGAACTTACTATGAAAAATGGAACAGATTCCCATGCGCCCCCTCATTTCCAGGGGACAAACTTGAACTGCTTCCAGATACCACATCCATAAATGTGATCCTGTCTTGTTCCCCTTCTTACGCTTTAATTTCTCCTGTACTTGTTAGTGCTTTTTCATTTGCAAGTGACAGAAATCTAACTTAAACTGGATTATTATTATTATTTTTTTATTAAAATTTTTAATGTTTTTATTTATTTTTGAAAGAAAGAGCAGGAGTGGGGAGGGGCAGAGAGAGAGGGAGACAGAATCCGAAGCAGGCTCCAGGCTCCACACTGTCAGCACAGAGCCCGACGCGGGGCTTGAACCCCCAAACTGTGAGATCATGATGTGAGCCAGAATTGGATGCTTAACCAACTGAGCCACCCGGGCACCCCTATTTTTTTTAAATTAAAGATACGTGTTCTTTTATGGGACCGTAAAGTCCAGGGGCCTATCTGGGCTTCAGGTATGGCTGGATCCAGAAGCTTAGAGGTTGTGATCAGGACTTGGTCTCTTGCTCAGGCCTGCTTTCCTCTGGGTTGATTGCATTTTTCGGCAGGCTGCCTCTAGGTAGTGTCTCCTGGGAGCTCCTACCAAAGACCACGACTCAAAGAAAGTGTCTTATTCTTGGTGGTCCAGTCAAAGTCCCAAACTGACACTCACCCTTCATCCTGCTCTTGAGGCCCCTCGAAGCCAGGGTGTGGACTCATTTCCATTGCAGCAAATGTGGTCTGAAGAGCAGGATGGTTCCCCTCAAGAACAGTGAGCTAGAATGTAAAAACAACAGATGCCTTCTAGAACTCTCTTGCATTTTTGGTTCTTCCTCTGATACCTTCTCTCCCAGGCAAGAATAAAGCCCAGGGAGCAAGTATAAGCAGGTGGAACTGCCGCCTGCCCGTCAGAGAGGTAGAGTGGACTCCCGTGGCCACTCTTCGTGGCTCGGTGGTCTCTGCTCTTGGAGCAGCAGTGGCCTGAAAGCCATTCCAGAAAACACTCCAGTGGCCGCACATGTTGGCTTTAGCCAATACTATCTTGTGAACCAGGGCTCTGGGTCCTGCTGTGTTTTCCGGTGCCTTTACAAGCCGAGGCTTGCTATGGTAGATTGGGTGCATTCGTTTTTCAAGGTTCACTTGTCTGGCAGCCTGCCTTTCCAGAACAGACCCAAAGTAAAGATGTGAGAACAGAAAAAGAGCTTCCCAGAATCACTCTCCCCAAAGTCCAATGAGTGTAGGGAGCAGGAGAACCCTCAGAACTTCCCCTTATTCTCTGTTTACACATATTTTGTGCAGAGTCATGAATGTGGACACGCCCATGGCTTTGGGTTCTACCGAGTGGAACCCAGGGTGATCACCCGCAGAGAATCCGCCAGCCCTGCTGTTGGGCTTCTACAAAGGCGGCAAGGTGGGAAAGAAGGAACATAAAGCAGTGGATAGAGACCTGAGCTAGGGCCGGCGCCAGCCCCACACTTGCCGTTGATGTGCTGGGTACACCTGGACAGACCCCTTACCTTCTCAGAGCCGCCGTTTCAGAGCCCAGTGGTGCAGTAAGCGTTCAAAACGTCCACCTTCTGGGGCTGCACCGTACAGGGACAGGTGCGGGTGGAGGACATCTCAGCAGCTTGGGGCAGACGCACATTCACACTCGGCCACCCTTGGTGACTGTAGGATGCCCCAGTTTCTTTCTTTCTTTCTTTTTAATGTTTGTTTATTCTTGACATAAAGAGAGAGTGTGTGTGTTAGCAGGAGAGGGGCAGAGAGAGAGGGAGACACAGAATCTGAAGCAGGCTCCAGGCTCTGAGCTGTCAGCACAGAGCCCAGTGCAGGGCTCGAACCCACTTACCACGAGATCATGACCTGAGCCGAAGTTGGATGCTTAACCAGCTGAGCCACCCAGATGCCCCTGAGTGCCCCAGTTTCTAAAGGAGTTAGAAATCATAGTAGGACTCAGAGGTCGACAAGGTAAAACCAGGGTAATCTGCCAGTCGGCCAGATTCATGCTATTTCCTGAAGGTCTGATTTGCTGTTAGCTGGGTGCTTTGGAATCATTTGGCCCAGTGTGCCCTGTAGCTTCAGCTAGGTCTATCACTCTGGACCGTCCAGGGAGCAAACTTCTGCTTTTACTGGACACTTGAAGGTCACATTCCAGTTATACTATTTTTATGTCCAGCGGTTTCTTTCCTTCGAAAATAGAAATGTTATAGGACTCTCTAGAATTATATAACATGTTTTTGTAGATGTTTACTGACTTGTTCTCAATTACATTAATGCATTCAGTCATATTTCAAAATAAGACTTAAAATAAAAGCTCTCCATGCAATTTCACTGCTGCTTCAATAAAATGTACCGAGCATAGTAAATTAACAGATACGGTTTTTATGCTCAACTTTTCCCGTTGGACAGAAGGCCTTGTAAATGTGAACTGGCAATCTTTTGAAGACATATTTTTTATTCAATGTGACCCGAGGAGAATTTGTAACTGTTCTGAAGGGTTGGACTGTTTTGGGTGGTTGTAACTGAGCCAGTGGAGAGACTGTAACTGTTTTGAATATTGTGGTCTGAGATTAAACAGAACGTTTTAAAGCTAGTTACCATTTTTTAATATGCAATTAGTGGCTTCCTCCTCATTTAGCTCATAGGCAGGAGCAGACACTAGAAAAGTAATTATTTGCTTTGACTGCTTAGCACATTGTTAATTATCAGATGCATATATTAATAGGCAAATAAAATCAGAAAGCATACTTTTAATTCTACTATAAATAATATCTTGGGCCAAGTAGTTTTAAGTTCAAACTGGAGAAAAAGAACTTTATGAATAATGCTCTTTCTAATGAAAGTCATAATGCACTTTTCCATTATAAATATTCATCGTGGGGCGCCTGGCTGGCTCAGTCGGTTGAGTGTCTGACTTCTGCTCAGGTCATGATCTTGCGGTTCATGGGTTCGAGCCCCACCTCGGGTTCTGTGTTGACAGCTTCGAGCCTGGAGCCTGCTTCCGACTCCGTGCTTCCCTCTCTCTCTGCCCCTCCTCCGCTCATGCTCTGTCTCTCTCTGTCTCTCAAAACTGAATAAATGTTTAAAAAATTAAAAAAAAATAAAGATTCATCGTAATATTTGTTCACCTACAAGTACTTGGCTTGTGCATGCTGAGTGCTGGTTGCGGTGCCGGGTGCTGTGGATATAGTGGTTGGAGATGAGCGAGTGGCCCTGCCATGGAGCGCAGAGTCTGATGTGATGAAGGAAGCACAAGGGCAGAGACGGTTCCAGGGCCTGCAGGGAAAGCCTGAGAAATGCAGGACAAAGTCCAGTTAGTTTTGAAACACGTGTTTTCATCCTGCAGATGTCTTTCTGGTTACCTGGGTATTTTCTTATTTGACGAAGCTTCTCTGTGGGATAAACCACATTATCTGTAGCAGATGGAGATTTGTGCAGGTATTGAGACCATTGATTTCCAGTCCTTCTTGTTGAAGCCCAGGGTTACTTTGTTTGGTCTCCCTGACGTGGAGGCTCCGACTCCATGGTACTGTCCGTGGGAACCTTGGTCAGCCCTGGCAGTCATGTGAGGAGTTGACAGATGGGAATGCGATGATGCCATTAGAGTACAAGGGGTCCTTTCAGCCTGTAGAACAGTTTGTTATAAGTGTGTGTGTGTCTGGCCTGTTGATTAAAAATTGGCCACAACGAAATAAAACAGATAGTGTGGGACAAATTCTTCCCTGGATATAAAGGCTCCTTGAAGAGTTCTTTGTGTGTGGACCTCTGCTTTGGGCAGCTGTTACATGATTTCGTATCCATGAATGATTCGGCCTCTGGAAGTCCTGTTACGTAAAGCAAGGCAAGCCTGCATTAGCCTTGATCCAGTACGAGGTGTGTGAGTTTCGAATGGCTTCTGTGACAAACTACTGCAAGCTTAGTGGCTTGGAACAACACAGATTGATTTGCCTACAGTCTTGGAGGTCAGAAGTCCAGAGTGGGGCAGCAGGGCTGTGGCCTTCAATGGGTTCCAGCTTCTAGAGGCTGGTCACCTTTCTTGGGTCATGGCTACTCCCTCCTGTCTTCAAAGCCAGCAGCATAGCGTCTTCTCTCTTCTCTGACCTTTGATTCATCCTCTTATCTTCTATTTACTTATTTTTTTTTTTTTTTTTTGAGAGCGAAAGGGAGAGAGTGAGCGGGGGAGGGCAGAGAAGGAGAGGATCTTAAGCCTCAATCTACTACCCTCTGATCATGACCTGAGCTGAAATCAAGAGTCGGATGCTCAACCGACTGAGCCAGCCAGGTGCCCCCATATTGTCTCCCTTAAACCTACCTTCCTGCTTCTTTCTTATAAACACCCTTGTGGTTATTGGCTTACTCCAGTAACCCAGGATAGCTTCTCCGTCTCAAGATCTTATCACATCTGCAAATTCCCTTTTTACCCTTCAAGATAACATATTCACAGGTTCCTAGGATTGGGACATGGATGTCTTTGGAGGCCATTATTCAGCCTACCACAGATGACATGGGATGCGGTTCAGGGTATATGCGAGGAACAGCGCTGCTAGCTCACCTACCCATTGTAGTCACGAAAAGAGTGTGTCATTGTTATTTCCATTTGAACCGGTGGTCAGAACTGGCTCAGAGTAGTTAAATACTTTTCCTGGGGTCACTCAGCTTGTAAGTGGTGGAGTCAGGAACTAACTCCGGCCCGGCTGTGTTCAAACCTCGTACCCTTCACAGTGCAGCCCCCCTGCTCAAAG